CTATCTTGGGTTTCCTTTTAATGTCTTCAGGATTAGATCTGCTGGTTTCTAATTTTTACATCTTCCTCAATATTGGATTACTTGCCTATTTTTCTGAATCTAACATATTGGATTTTTAAAAAGATTTATTTATTTATTTATTTATTTATTTATTTATTTATTTATTATTTTAAAGGGAGAGAGTAAGTGAGGGAAGGCAGAGTGAGAAGGGCAGAGAGAGGAGAAAGAAAATCACAAGCAGGCTCCATGCCCAGGACAAACCCCAAAGCAAGGTTTTATCTCAGGACCCTGAGATCATGACCTGAGGCCAAATCAAGAGTCAGACTCTTGGGGATGCCTGGGTGGCTCAGTGATTGGGTGTCTGCCTTTGACTTAGGGCCTGATCCCAGGTCTGGGGATCAAGTCGCCCGCTTCTCCCTCTGCCTGTGTCTCTGTTTTTCTGTGTATCTCATGAATAAATAAATAAAACCTTTAAAAACAAAAAAAGAATCAGACATTTAACTGACTGAGCTACCCCAGCACCCCTATTGAAAGTTTTTAAGAGTGGGTGTGTGCTGCTCAGTATTAGATATCTATTTATTAAATAAATAAATAAACAAACTAGAACCATACTAGATGACTTAGTTTTAAAACTTTCTATATACATAAAGGAAATAGAAAAAATTGTAGGAAAAATACTCAAGGTGGATGTTTGTAAAGTAAAATTTCTGAGTCTTACATATCTGAAGTTGTCCTGATTAGACCTGAGTATTGAAGAGATGGCTTTACAGTCACTGTTACTAATGAGATCTCTCTCTCAACTTATTCTTGTCATCATTCCTCCATAGTTGATAGGTTTCTTGATTCTTTTGGGGAGATTTTAAATTTTTCTCTTCGTTTTTTGGGTGTTGTCATTTCATAATGAGATGCTTTGGTTTATGTCTTTTTATTTTTTAATTTTTTTAAAGATTTCATTTATTTATTCATGAGAGAGAGAGAGAGAGGAGGGAGAGAAAGAGAGGCAGAGACACAGGCAGAGGGAGAAGCAGGCTCCATGCAGGGAGCCTGATGCAGGATTGGATCAGGGTCTCCAGGATCACGCCCTGGGCTGAAGGCGGTGCTAAACCACTGAGCCACTGGGGCTGCCTGGTTTCTGTCTTTTTAAATTCATTTTTCTAAGTACTCTTTAAAATAATTCATGTCCTTTTACTCTGTGGCATCTTTTTAAAGTAATTATCTTGATATGTTCCTCCTCTGCAATTTCCTTGCACAGCTTTCTTGACTCCAATTATGTGGCTATTAGACCACCTAAACTTATCTTAATGCTCTTATATTTCCTTCAGATTTACTTTTATTTCCTTTTAATCTTTTAATTTTCTGGGAAACTTCTTCAACTTTATTTTAAAATCATTTTAGTAAATATCTAAAAATCAATTTAAAAATTAGCTAAGATTGCAGTCACTTTCTCTTTCTTTATATCCTGTGGTGCAGCGTGTATTCTCAAATCTCTCTAAAAATATTGGAGGTTTTGAAAGTTTCTCATTTCCTACAATATCTATGTTTCTGTTGGGATAACTTTTTCTCTTTTTGTATGTTATTCTTTCTGATATTTGAGAATTTTCTCAAAACTATTCTGACCTGTGGTTAACTGTTCCTACTTAGAAGAAGGCTCTGGAAATCAATTGATATGATTCACTAAATTAAAGAATAAAGAAGGAAAATCATATAAATATCTCAGCAGATTCACTTGATAATATTCAACATCTGTCCATGAGAAAACTCTCAGCAAACTAGGAATAGACAACAACTTCCTCAGTCTCATTAAACATACACACACACACACACACACACACACAATGTATACAGCAAACATCATATTTAATGGTGGATACTAATCTTTTTCTAAGATTGGAAACAAGACAAGGAAGTCCACTCTCATCACTTTTCTTCAACATTGTGTCTAAACTCCTAACCAGTACAATAAGAAAGAAAAATAATTGTTGGGAAAAGAAAAGGAGTTTTGCTTACTGATGACATGATTATTTATTTTCTATAAAACCCAAAAGAAATCTACAAATACATAACTGGAATATAAGAATTTAGCAGGGTTATAAATACATGGTTAATATTTTTGAAATCCAGTTTTATTCCCATACAATTATAACAAGCAATTTAAAAAGCAATACCATTTAAAGCAATACCAACTTAAAAAGCAACACCATTTCTAATTGGGAATAAGTTTAAGGAAAAGTATGCATAACTTCTTTTCTTTAATTCAATTTAGTTAATATATAGTGTTTTATTAGTTTCAGAGGTAGAATTCAGTTATTCATCAGTTGTATATAACACCCAGTGCTGTTTATATCACATACCCTCGTTAAGGCCCACCACCCAGTTACCTACCCCATCCCCCCCAACCCACCTCCCCTCGAGCAACTCCCAGTTTGTTTCCTGTACTTAAGAGTGTCTTATGGTTTGTCTCCCTCTGTTTTTATTTTATTTTTCTTTCCCTTCACCTTTGTTGATCTCTTTTGTTTCTTAAATTCCCCAGCCCAGATGTGTATGACTTCTTTACTGAAAACTATAAACACTTCTAGGCAGAATTAAGGAAAACTAAATAAATGGAGAGCTATAAAATGTTAACAGATTGGAGCTTAATATTGTTAAGATATCAGTTGTCACCAAATTTGTCTGAAGTTTCAATGTAAACCGTATAAAAATCCAAAAGGCTTTTCTTATAAAAATTGACAAGTTGATTTTAAGAGATATATGGAAAGCCAAAGACCTAGAAAAGCCAAGCCAATTTTTCCCTAATTGACTTCAAGACTTTCAATAAGCTATAGTGTGCAAGCCAATATGCTATTGGCATGAGGATAGACAAATAGGTCAGTGGTATAGAATAGAAAATCCAGAAATAGACCCATTCTTACATTGTAAGTTGCTTTTTGAATATTTTTAATAACTTGTGGTAGGCGAAGATTTCTTAGTACATTAACATTATTAACCACAGAAGAAAAGAATTGATGGATTTGGCTTCATCAGAATTAAAATTTTCTCCTCATCAGAACACATGGTTAAGCAAGCCAAAGGCTGGAAGAAAATGTTCATAATACATAAATCAAACAAAACACTTCTTTCCATAATATAAAACAAACTGCTACATATCAGTAAGTAGTAAAAGACAACCCAACAATGTATATAGGTCAAAGACTTGAACAGACACTTTACAAAAGAAAATGCATGAATTGCCAATAAGCATACAAAAGTATGCTCAACATCATTAGTCATTAAAGGAATACAAAATAAAATTATATGAGATACCACATTATACACATGAGAATTGCTAAAAAAATAGAAAAACTACCTCTAATAAACTTTGAGCAACAGTTTGGCAAATTCTAAAATGGCTAAGCACACTCACGCAATGATCCACTCCTAATTATTTACCCAAGAAAAATGAAAACATCATGCCATAAAAAGATGTGTACAAGAACAGCAGCTTTATTCATACAAGTCCCAAACTGGAATCAATCTAAATGTCCATCAACAGGAAAATGAATAAGCAAATTGTGGTAGGTCCTCACAATGGAATACCTTCAACTGCAAAAAGGAACAAACTACCATTCATCCAATAGCATGGATGATGAACAAATGTCAGGCACAAAGCATACATGATGTATTATTCCACATATAGAAAACCCAGTAAGGGACAAACTTCACACATGGTGATGGAAAGGTCAGCCTGTTTGTTTGCCTTTGAGAGGCTGCCTGGCTCCAGGTGGTTAGTTTGTAGGTTGAGGGGTTAGAGGTGCACTGTTCTGTTGTAAGTTTTCAGCACCGTATCTTCCTTGTGATCTCTGCTGCCTCTTCAGGGTTCTTCAGGGCATGCTTTGTTTCTCTTATCTCTGGGAGCATCCTCCACCTACAAGAGCAATTAGCACTCCATTGGCCACTTTTATCAGATAGATTTTGATTGAAATCTCTTTTGTGCTCATTGCCCCACCATTCTTTTTGTCGTTGTGAATCCAATTTCTTTATTATCATTTTAGCAGGGCTTTTAATAAAAAAGAAGACAAGTGCTTCTTTTCCATCTGCAATCTTTGAACTGAAACATCTCTTTTGCAGGAATTTGACACAATAATGTGACATTATTATTCCCTGAGGCATATGAAGTACGGGGAAGTGGCAATAATTCTCTTTTGGTTTGACAAAGAAAGCTTCTGAGTCTTCATAATACAAGATGTTGATTAAAACATTATTATCAGGGCAATAAAATGATCAACTAAAAATTGGAATTATAGATGGGTTTAAAATTACTTTCACAGGAAACATCAGTGATTTCTGAAATTCAGATGCCTGAAAAATTCACTATATATAACACTAGCACAGATTTATATTAACACAAAGCAGGACCAGATGTCCCAGGAGAAATGTTTGATATTCTTGTGAAATTATCAATTTATGCTGTTTCATGTCATTGTTAACCACATCGTATCCTTTATAAATTAGTTTTATAATGCAGGATGGTATTTCTTTGAACAACTATAGGAGAAGAGCTGATTTTTTTTATCTTTCTAATACTATTTTTCTCTTAGTTTTAATTATTTTCAAGGTTAGACTTTTATCCCATTGCTTTCCTTCTTTCCTAAGTCATTTTATTGGAGTGTAGTTTATTCCATTGCTTTTTATTCCTCTTTTCCTTCTATCTGGATTTTGTTTAAATTTAAATTTTTTTAATTACAAAATATTTCAGATATGTGAAGGTATCTTTACAATGGCTTTGATCCAGACAGACTTGAATAGACTTTTTCAGTACCATGTTTAAGTCTTTTTTGACCTCCATGCTTTCTTCATCGTATTTTTGCTCACTACTTCAGTTACATTTATTCTGTTTCTGCTCAGGACCACTTACTTAATATATGTTAGCTTTTCCCAGCTTATCCTTCATATATAAATCTTACAGCCACCACAAGCATCTTGGAATCTCAATGACCGTTTTCACATGGTATCCTTCCTTCTAGGGCAACTATAGAAGACCAGAACACTGATGAGAGACTTGTCTATGAGACTCTATTCAAACACTTCAAAAGACACAAGGTGGAGATTTCAAGTGCAATAAAAAAGCCATTTCCTTTCTTTGAGGGTCTCCGGGACCGTGAACTCATCACCAATAAAATGTATGAGGTAAGTGATGTTTATTATCTCATAGTCTGGTAAACTGGCCCCAAATGAAGTTATATTTTGATATCCTTGACCCAAACATCAAGCACAACTAACTGACTGAGGAGTCTCCTATGAGTGGGAGACTTTTTCAAGTATTGTTGCAACTGCTTCTGTAAGGTAAAAAGGGAAAGGAGACTTAGTTGTCCCCAGAGATAGCCCTGCTTCTCTGTGCCGCCCACTGGACGGGTGCCCACTTGGGTTGAATAGCACAGCAAATGGGCTAAATCTGAAGCAGGAGTGCTCCATAGATGTATAATGCCTTGTAGGAATGCATAGAATATAGTATGAACTGAGAATTAAAAGTAATTAATGGGTGATGGGCACTGAGGGGAGCACTTGTTGGGAGAACACTGGGTGTTATGCTATATGTTGGTAAATTGAACTCCATTAAAAAATAAATAAATAAATAAATAAATAAATAAATGAATTGATATATAACTTAAATTAATTATAATTTAATAAAATAATAATTGACACATATCACTTCAATGGACATCAGTTTGAGTCCTTAGACCTGAGAACATTAAAACCTACAGGGAATTGATACCCTGTTAGGACAAAATTTGAGAATTGATGATTGTTATTCTTTCTCTAACAGTTTTCAGTTTTTAGGGTTCTTTTTTCTTTTTCTCTTTCTTTTTTTTGTAATGGTATTTGTGGAGTCTTGGAATTTGGGATTGATTTTAGCAATAGGCATTGCTGGAGATATACAGAGATGCAAGTCTTCTTTTTGCCCTATTAATATGCTTTCTCTATGGCCAAGTTCCCAAAAGTGGAGAACTATCATCTGGTTTCCTTGAGTTCTTCCAGGCCAAGTCAGTCCCAGGAAAACGGTAAGGGTTGTCCATGCAACAGGACAGCTGCTCATCACCTCTTATTCTGTTTCTAAAACATGAAGTTAATGAGGGTGAGATCTGTTTCACAGGTGAATATTTTTAAGGAGGAAGGAATCTACTTGTTTCACTTAATATCTATACAAATAAATAGAAATTCTTAAACTTTATATGAGAAGATACTGATGGAGGAAAATTGGAAGACATTATCCATACAATCTCTTTCTAGGGCTCTTCTGTAATCTGGAAGTCTGATTTATATTTTCTCCATTCAATATGTTTTAAGGACTGTCAAGAGTCTTGTAGAAACCTGGTCCCTGTACAAAAAGTGGTGTATAATGTTCTCAATGAACTGGAGAAGACATTTAACCTGCCACTTTTGGAAGCATTGTTCAGCGAGGTCAACGTGCAAGAATATCCCGATTTAAATGACATTTATAGGAACTTCGAACATGGTAATTAGATTTATTATCTACCTTTTGATGCCCAGGGCCAACCTTTTTTTTTTTTTTTTTGGACAAGTATATATTGAGTTCCTACAATGTGCCACACATAGTGCGGAGGCAGTGGGGACATAATAGTTAAGAAAACACAAATCATGAACCTTCTCAAAGTTTATGGCATAATGGCTATGGTACAATACTCACTTAGAGGTCTGCCTAACTGGGCATTTAGACTCACAGGACAACCAGAGCTAAAGTGGCATCAGATTTACTTAGAAGGACAAATGACAGGAAACAGCATCCCAACAGCGCAGCCTGTCTGTGGGACTTCTTGTGGAAACCCACACAGCAGTCCACCAAGTTGACTACTACCCGCCTCGGTGTCAGCTTAGTTGTGGATATAGGACTCACCCTGGCTTAGCAGCACCATGCCTATGGGTATTGATATGTCACATAATAGTGCTGTAGTCATAACTTTCAGGACCTCATGAGGGACAAACCTAGTTACAAGAGTCACCGCTTTGGAGGAAGACCAAGTGCATGTTGTAGTCTGTAGAGAGTCATTCCCCATCCACATGCAATTTACTAGTCATTTTAACCCTAAACTAGGTTTTTAACTAGGCCAATGATGACTAGTAGAAGAAAGGCCATCTTACCAGGTTTCCAGAGTAATGAGCCAGAAAGTTAACTCAAGGTCAAATTTACCCTTAAAGAAGGAGAATAGGTTTTTTAAACTCTTTCTCCACAAGGGGTGAAACAAACATTATTCAAATAATCACCAAACAATGCTTTGCCAGGTGTTATACAAAACTAAAGGTTTGATTCTCCCTTTTTTTTTTCCCTGGGAAGGCATTATTTTATTTTATTTTTTAAAATTTTTTACTTTATTTTAAAGCTTGTAAAAGTTAAGAGAATGCTTTTAATATATATATTAAATATGCTTTTAATATTAAATATAATAATGTTTTTAATATATATATATATATACTTTTTTTTTAATTACCTAGAAAATGTTTTATTTCAGCACAGTTTGGTGTCAGTGGAGTTCTCCAGATAAGGGATAGAGACATTGTAAGAAGAACGTTCCCATGGCCTGGGGAGGGCTGACACTATGGGATCACGCATGTAGTGTGAAAGGATCTAGTGTGTCTTCAAAGACAAATTCAAATCGTCTCAGAGAGTGAGAAGCAGACTGTAGGGCTGATTCATGAGAGATAAATTTGAAGAAGATTTTAGGAAATCTAGCATATAAAGCTAAGCAATTGGAATTTTATTAATAGGCAATAAAGAGATATCAACAGTTCTTATAAGCAAGGAAATTAAAAAGCAGTGGTAAAGCATGTAGTTTGTTAACTTGTGTCAATAGTAACCTTAATCTAATTAACAAAGTAATTTCTATAGCAAATCAGCCCAAGTTAGAAATGGAATAAAGGCAATTAAGGCAATATTATATATGTGACCAGGATGTCCCAGGCCATGGGAACAAAGGGAATGGTGGTTACCTGTACTGCCCACATCTCAGGGACTCTGATTCTCTCCAGGTTAAGTGTCCACATCACCTGTGTTAGGTTCCAGGTTCTCCCAGCTGGGGGGGACCTGCACCTACACTTGCTGCCACCCACCTGCCCCTGGGGAGGTAGCAGCTATTGCCTCTCAGACTCTGTTGTTCCACAGGAGCCATGGGTCAGTGACCCAAAGTCAAGAATCTGGGGGCTGTGGAGTGGGGTGTAGCACTCTCTCCTGCTGCTTGGTGCCAAACTTCATCCCACACTCAGGGCCCCCTGAACCCCCGTGGGACTGCTCGTTCACACTGACCCCCTTAACCCTTCCCTTTGTTCTCTTCCTTTCTTCCACCTGGTTTTGCCAGGATCTGAGGCTGGGTGATGGGATGACAAAGCACCCATGGTTCCCACTGTCCTGTGGAACTCACCCTAGCAGGCCCTACCCCAGGAGGAGCTCTTGCCATGGGCCCTGGGGCAGCAGGTTCTCTTCCTCCCTGGTGTCCCCTCCTCCCTGGACTCCCTGTAGACATGGCCCCATCTCCCTCTCCTCCCTCCCTTCCCCATTCAGGCTTCCTGGCTTATTTCTTTCCTCCTATGTGTGCTGGGTCACCTACAGGCAGGGGTGCTAGGCTGGTGTCCCTGCCTCCCCTGGTTGGTGGCCTCCCCAGCCGCTGGGGCAGGCCTGTGGGCCATCCTCCAGCATTGCAAGCTGTGCTCCCTGCTCAGAGCTGGAGAGTGTCCTTCTTTTGCTCCTGGGATCTGGGCCCCTGGGAGGTCTGTCCTGTTCCTCCAGGTGTCCTCTGCTTTGTCTCTTTGGGAAGCACTCACCTTCCCTGCCCCAACCCTCCTCTCCTCTAGCAGCATCCTTAGAGTTTTCTCTAAGCTGCTTTCTCTTTCATACCCATGGATCTCTCTCTGAGCCTCGCTCTTCTCTGTTCCTTCCTTTCAGTTTGAACAGTTCAGAAACACATTTCACATCTATTATTTGCTTTGATATAGACTTTTCCTGGCCATCCGCAAAATCTATTACAAGAGTAAGAGAATCATGATGTTTCCTTTATCCTTACATCGGAGTGGCTCCTTTCTGTGTGGGAAACGTAGACTCTTTTGCTGGGAGTTCTCTTTTCTATCCCAGGGATGGTGGGGAAATTTTGCAAGGAGGATCAGAAGCACTGAGCTTGGAGTGACTTAAGGGCCATTACAGTTACAGTTGTTAACTGTAATTTTGAGATGTCGTTCCTGGTCTCTGATGGAATCCCTAATTGTCTCCTTCTGTCTCCCTCTTTTTAGCGGTCAAAGAGAAAATTAATTACCAAGAAAGCGATGAAGAAGAGGTGGACGAGAATCCTAATATCCAACTGAGCCTTGAACAAGGTGATTGCAACCCAGTAAAGACCAATTCTCATCTGCAAAGAAGAAAAGGAGAAAGGGAACTCAGGCCCGAGTCCTGAGTGGATTTGGGGCATCAGGAAAGAAATGTTAAGGACCAAGGAAAAGGCAGGAAGGAGTGTTTGCATGAATGTCTAACCAGAGACCAAATCCTGGAGGAGTAGCTAGGACAAGAGATTCTTGGCCCAATAATCAAGACAAAGGGACAGAAACCCAGTGTGTCAGTAAACCAGATTTAAGCAGACTAACTGCCAGGAAGTAATTGTGATTTAGAAAGGTACCTGTAGGAGAAGATCAGTGTGAATCTGTGAAGGGCTAAGAATGTGGGCCCATGATCAACATCAAATGATGGCAGATGGGACTCATTTCAATGTGGGGGATGTTGTTCAGAAGCCCGGATATTCAAGAAGAAGGCCAGTCACACACAGAGAGAAAAGAGGAAGTGGTAGAAAAGTGGAGGGGTGGATGTGGGTACTTTGAGAGAGAAAAGGAGGGAAATGAAACAGAAGAAGGTGTTAAAAGACAAAATAGAAATAACCATGTTATTGACCTCTCCTTGGTGGAACATTTACTTTGGCAATTGTAGGTTTAGTGCCCAGGTGGCCATTGGAGGTTAGCATTGCTTATGTGTCCATTTTGCAGAGACTGTGTGTGTAGCTGGCCTGGGGTCTAATGAGCAAGGGCAAATCCAGGCATTGTGTGTGTGTGTGTGTGTGTGTGTGTGTGTGTGTGTGTGTTTTAATGGAGGTAAAATTCGCATAACATAAAATTAACCCTGTTAAAGTGTACAGTTTAGTGATCTTTGGTGTATTTACAATGTTGTGCAACTACTAACTCTGTCTAGTTCCAAAACATTCTGATCACCTCAAAAGGAAGTTCCATATCATTCCCAGTGTCCCTCTTTCCTGGCCTCCGGCAACCACTAATCTAGTTTCTGAATCTTTGGATTTACCTCTTCCAGATGTTTCATTTAAATGGAATCACATAAACACACCCTTCAGGTCTGGCTTTTTTCACACGACATAATATTTTCTTTTTTTTTTTTTTAAGATTTTATTTATTTATTCATGAGAGACACAGAGAGACAGAGACATAGGCAGAGGAAGAAGCAGGCTCCCTGTGAGGAGCCCGATGTAGGACTCAGTCCCAGGACTCTGGGATCATGACCTGAGCCAAACACAGACACTCAACCAAGCCACCCAGGCATCTCTGCATAATATTTTATTATATTTATTCATGCTACAACTAACTGCCAGGAAGTAATTTAGATTTAGAAATCTAAATTAAACATTTTACAAACAAGAGTTAGAGCATGAATGCCCTTGTATGGATATATTACATGTTGCTTATTCATTTATCAGTCAATGATGGGTTGTTTTTACCTTTTGGCTATGACAGAGCCTACATTCTTAACCCTATACCACTCTGGTAATCTAATGGAAAAGACAGAAGCATGAGACAAAAATTGGGAAATATATGCAGAGAAAGATGCAGAAAAAAGAATACCAACAGTAGGAGGAGGTAGAGAAGAATCAGACATGGAATCCTCATGGAAGGCCAATGAAACAGACTGAACAGACATATAGAGGGAGGGTGTGGAGGAAGAGGAGGTGGGGACGAGGCAGCAAGACTTTGTAGGAACTCAGGTAAGGACACTGGTCAGGGGTAGCTCTGGGGACAAAGGCAGCTCTTCTATGGCCATGGGAGTCAGGATAAGCCATTGCCAGTTACTCAAGCGCCTCATGTGGGACACTCAGTGAGATGGTCAGGCCAAGGCCCCCTTAGCCAGGGATATAGCTGACCCCAATCCACCACTCTGTCAGTAAGGGTTTGACTGCAAGGGTTGCATGGGATCCGCCAAGTCCGCATGGTCTCTATATGGATACCTGGAGGGGATCTTCAACTCCTACTTTAGGAAAAAAGGTTTAAGGGAGAATGGCACAAACCATACATCAATTTTTGAAACAAACTTTCAATTTATTCTTCCAAGGAACTGGTGAAAACATATATCGAAGCCTGACCTGGCCATGTCCACAATCCTCATCTCATCACGGTCTGTTCCTGTTTGTGGTACTCTCCAATCCTTTGTGTTCTCATCCCATTCTATCATGTGCTGGGGGTGGGGGGCTGCTTCTTTGTATCACTGATTGCCCAGAATCTGTCTTTACTTCTACAATTTCTACAAGGAAGTTCTGGGGTGTTTTCCCTGGGAGTCATTCCTTACCTTTCTCTGTTTTTCTCTGCCCTATATCTCTGGCCATGGGCCCCTGTGGACTACTTTGCCAGCTCGCTTTGTTGTTGGCTCCCTGCTGGGTTTCTGACATGACAAGAGATCAGAGAGTGGGAATAAGGGAGAACCTGGATATTTCCCCATCACTGCCTTTGTCCACAATTCTGACAGTGGCTGCATTTCAACCATGATACCACTTCCCATCCAGCAGGCCAGCTTCTACCCACCCAGTGACCCTGACCTCTAGGCACCTCAATACCCCTCACAGCTTCCTGTTAAGTATTCTTTTGGTTACTGCCTTCTTTTATTTGGATTCCTCAGCAACTCCATCAACTGTATAACCAACCCCCTGGATTAAATTCCCTGTGCTTATAAAAGCTTAGAGTGATTTATATTTTCCTGTTGGACCCTGATTGATGCAGAGGACAAATAAAACTTCTATGGATCAAAATATGGTTTAGGTACCACCTCACCTGAAAATGGACCCTCGAAGAACCTCTGTGAAACAGAACAGATTAATGCAAACAGAAAAGATACAACCAGTGACAAAAATGATGCACTAGAAAGCCAAGAAGCAAATAAAGAGTGTGCCCAAGGATCTGAGCTGGCAGGTAATTCTGACTACCTGGGTTTGCATCAGTGTAGAGGGGCTAAGGAGTCCTTATTGGTGGCAGAGAATGGAGTGGTGCCCAGCTCAAAGAAACATCTATTAACAAAGAAGGGGAAACTCATGCAGACACAGAGGAGGCAGGAATAGAGGTTAATATATTGATGGGAGAGATCTAGAGGAAGAAAAGTTAGCAAGTGCTAGCTTCAACAAACCTACTTATTTTTTACTAGATTAAAAGCTGGTGTTGGGTGAGACCAGAATTGCCAACTTCTGCAATTTTTCTGATGATAAAAATGTTAGATAAGCTAATACATACTGTTTACATGCAATGGAAAATATACAAAATAAGTTTCTGGTGCTTTTTCATTTTCTCAATATTGGTATAACTCTTATTGACAGAGAAGTTGCAATGCCGAGGGCTGAAAATGGATTCAGACTTCAAGATCTTCAGAAGCTGCTAAGAAAATTAAATGAGTCCACAAATAAAATACAAAACAAAAGAAATATGGCCTATGGCCTATGAGAGAATGGGTACATGCTGTAGAAATTTAAAGAAAAAAAAGATGGTTTCTGGCTAAGGGGCAAGGAAGAGAAAATCAGGATTGCTTATAGTAGTGTTAGTTTGCATACAGCCTCAGCAGTTGGGAAGAAACTGGATATGAAGTTTAAAGATACCCAAATTCGAAAAAAAAAAAAAAGAAAGAAAGAAAAAGAAAACACAATATACATTCAAGCGTAGGAGCCCAGGGCAGGCCACCCTAAAATGTGCCACTTCGGCATAAAGATTATTTCTCTGCCTCAATTTATACTATAAGGAGAACCTATACCAGGAAGAGAACTATTAACAGAGAATCCCCTTTACCTAAGAAGGAACTTATCTGTATAATAGAACAATCTTGTTTTTCCAAACATCCCCTTTCACCTTCTTGTTAATGACTACTCTGCCCTCTGTACACTCAGGCCCCTATCCCTCTCCTAAGCTCATATAAGCTTGATGTTGCCTCATTGTGTTTGGAATTCCATGTCTGTGTGGATTCCTCATATGTACACCTATTAAATTTGGTTTTCTTTTGTTAAAAAAAAGGAAATAAAGAAAGAAAAGTTAGGAAGGACAAACAAAGATACAAAAGGTGAAAAGTTGCAATGCCTCATCAGGGAAGAGAAACAGAAAGAAAAGTCAAAAGAAGTGAGGGAGAACTTGATCACAGAATCACCAAAGCACCAGTACTTTCATGGTGTGATAGTGGCAGTATATGCAGACAAGCTATAAATAGAAACATGAAAAGAAAAGGGAAGTCAGATGAGATGTAATAAAATGGAAATAGGCAGAACAGGGTTCTCCTGGGTCTCATCTATGGTCTTTTTTTATCCTCAGAGTCCTGTGAACAAGCATCCATCCAAGTGTATAATGGAGATATAAGAGAAGACACACCCAGCCCTTTGCCCTGTGATGGAGAAAGTAATAACCACTTATCTTACCAATTTTCTAATTCTATCTTTGTTTTTCTATGTGAACAAAAGCTTTCCTTTGTTCTTCGATACTAAGCACCTCCGTGACCCTAACAACACCCACGACCCATAGCCTTGTGCACAATCTCTGGCTGCTTTTAAGGTGTGTGAGATGCAAGGGGGAGAAAGAGCTGAGCTCTTTGATGAAGGGCATGTCCCTGAGGAGAGAATGCAAGGAGAGAAAATATTAAGAAGGTGAACCAAAGAACACCAAATGACAAAGTACATAAACAGCATAGGTTTTAGATAAACTGACATGGAATCCAAACAGTACCATTTTGTGGAGCTGGTGAAAATAAATGTTGCAACTTGATTTTCAGAGGTGGTAACAGAAACATGGAAAGCATGCATGATGCTGCTGGTCAGATTTGTGAGTACAGAGGCCCTGGTGAAGGACTTTTAGAAAAGAATTGGCAAATGAAGGGACTAGGAGTGGGGGACAGTGACACAGGAGAAGAACTTTGGTGATGCTTGGAATGGTTTAGATGAGAGAAATGAATAGAAAGACAAAAATCAATATAGAAGAGGCATACAGAAAGTCACATTAATAATTAAGAAACAGAGATCAAATAGAAGAATGTAGAAAACATAACAGAGAGTGGATAAATGGAAAATCAGTCAGAGGACAGCAGGGCCAGTTCTAGGGTGAGGCAGGGAGGTCCTGGGATATAAAGAAAATCTTGATAAAAATACTCTTGGTATCTTCTTGTACCCTCAGCACGTCTTCTGCCTCACCCTAGGACCTGGGAGATAGTGATAACAAAATGTTGAGAAAAAGTATGAGTAGAGAAATATACAGAAATAGATGAATACCAGTAAATAGAAAAAATGGGGGAGGCATAAAAAGAACTATGTAGAGGATGAGTTATGGGACCATGAATGAAAAACTGGTAGAAAGTGGACCAAATAAGAAGACAAATCAAGACATTGTCCAATTTGAAGAGACAGTCACCAGAAAGAAAGCACAGAGGGCTCTTCCTACTGCCATTGAGAAGAGATCATTAAGGTGTCTACAGTGACCAAAATGGCCCTTATACCTCCTCAAATAAAAATAGGCCTCCACCAAAGCATTTCATATCTCTGCGGCTTCAATCATCTATGATCTATGGATTCCTACACACACCTCTGATCCAGATCTGTCTTCTAGATTCATTCCTTCTAGTGCCTGAAGACGTGTAATCAAAGATCTGAAAGCCATCTCTGTTTGGATGCTATATTAGTTATCTATTGTTGTGTAACAAACATCCCCCAAATTCAGTGGATTAAAACAACCATGACTTTATTTACCACTTCTGTCAACTTTAAAATATGTCCAGCCTACTTATTTCTCTCCATTTCCAGGGTGCTCACTCTAATCCACATTCCTATCACTTCTCACTTCAAATAGGGGAACTCTCCTGCTGGCTTCCTTCCTCCTGTCTTGCCCCCCTCAGATCCATCTTCTACACTTCAGTTTAATGGGCATTGCAAAAATGCAAAGCCATACGGCTTTCCTACTTAAACCCAGTGCCCTCCTGTGGCCCTCAGCATGTGATCAATGCTGCTTGATGTGGAATATAGAAGGTTACCTCCCACATAGTTGTATAATCCCCCCCCGCCACACACACACACACACACACACACACACTCTCTCTCTCTCCCACCACATTCCTACCACACCAAATTCTGTTTGTTTACTTGAATTGCCAAGCTCTCCCAATTATACCTCTGCCTTTACACATGCTTTTGGAAAAAGTTGGAACTATACATAGCTTGTGATTCTGCAATTATGTTCCTCAGCAGAAACCTACAGAAATGTGCACTATGTTCAAAAAAAGAAAAGAAACACATAGAAAAGCAGCATTATTCACAATAGCCAAAATCTTAAAACAGCCCAAATAGATTTTTTATGGGTTTTTCATGGATTATATCTACAATGGAATACTACACAGAAGTGAAAAAGCAAAATGAATAGAGATGACTCCCACAAATATAATGTTGAGAAAGGAAGCCGAAGTCCCCTACCCCCATCCCTGTCAAATGTGAGAAAGACAGGGAAAGAGCAAGTAAGAGAGAGGGGCATGATTCCATTTATACAAACATGTATTTCAGAACTGGCAAAATTAATCATCAATAGTATTAAAAATCAAGTGGTGGTTAACATGAGTTACGTGATGGAGACAGTTAATGGGAGGTATCACTAAGAGGTTTCCAGGGTATGAGTAATCTTCTATTTCTTGATCATGGTGATAATTACCTAGATATGCTCACTTTGTGATGATTCAAAATTTATGATTTACCCATTTTTATCTATGTACATTATACTGAAAATATAATTTTTATTTTTAAAAGAGCACAAAGTGGGGCTTCTGGGTGGCTCAGCCAGTTAGGCATACAACTCTTGGTTTTGCTTGGCTCATCATGTCAGCATTGTGAGATAGAGCCCCCCATTGGGTTCCATGCTCGGGGTGGAGTCTGCTTAATATTCTCTCTTCCTCTGCTCCTCCCTGCTAAAACAAATAAATAAATCTTTAAAAACAAAAGAGTAACAAATAATTCATCAAAGGATGAGAAGAGAAAATAAAAACAAAACCCCCCAAAACCCAGAGTCCAGAAAAGCACAGATGAAGGGACACAGTTAAGCAGCAGGATAGGAAAGAGGTCGGGAAGGGGGAAAACTTCACCCCTTCAGTGGATTTACAGGGCACAGGACTTATCAATAGTAGTAAAGGGTGTTTATTCCCTTTGGGGGAGACAAATGAAAATTCTCCATTCATTACAATTTGATCCAGGAGCAGAGCTACCCAACCATGGAATCCAAATCAATTCCTGTTCAGTACATCTGGTGGATATAAAGAAGGAAAAGCCATTTTTTAACTCGACAGTTGAACAGCAAGCCCAAGCAAGGACTAACTGTAACCAGGCATCTGACATAATAGGTAATGCTGATTGAAAGAGTGTGTAATGTGAGTCACCAGTTCCAGGCAAGGGGCTGGGACACGTCATCAGGGCCCATTAAGGCAGTCCAGTTGGCCTTGGATGGAAGCAAGAGGGGAGGAACCAGTACCATATGCAGTGAGCTCAGCAGGAGAAAGTCCCAGTGATCAGAAAAATACCAAAAAACAGAAATGGTAGATTTGAGTATTAATGTGTAGGATCCTACTTCTAAAACAAAAAAAAGAAAAAGAAAAAGAAAAAAAAAGAAAAGAAAAGAAAAGAAGGTGGTAGAAGTTGAAGAAAAGGGGAAAAAAAACTGGAGAGCCAAGAGATTCATGAAAGGAGATGAAGAAGGAAACACATGAAGACAAAGAGAGGTATAGAGAGATACCATTGCCAGAAAGAGAGGCATAAGTAGGGGAAAGGGGCAGAGCCAAGAGGGAAGTGAAATAAATTGAGAATAAAAGATAGAGTAGCATGAGGGCAGAGGTAGGAGGTCCCATGAGAGTGGGGGAAGAAAAACATTGACAGATTGGGCAAAGTTGCCCTCTGTCTATGAATTCTATCACCTTTAGTTTAGGACTGGAGTAGCCTGCAAGTCACAGACATTCAAGTACAGATCAGGGTGCCCTGAGTTAGCTTAGTTTTCAGGTCTTTCTAGTGTTCTTATTGCAAGGTTGCCTGATACATGGGCTCATTGGCCCCACCCTGAAGCTAAAAGATTTTGCTCCTCTGTGCAGTGATCAGCAGTGACTCTGAAGAATCCAGGGATGGAGAGGAGCTCCCAGAAGCCTCCACATCAACACTGGAAAGCCAGCCTGGTAAGGCTGTGGGAAAGCAGGCTTTGGCTACAGGAATCTGAATTAAGAACTACAGTTTGATGCATCTAATTTTGGGCCTATTCTGTGTGATAGATTCAGTTTATCCTGGAATCCCATTCTCTGCATTTATTTTACTTGACCTTTTTGGTAAATAATAAAAAAATCATTATATATGTACACACACACACACATACACATATATATATATACACATATATATACATATATATATACTTTTTGAAAATGAGGCCTCTTAATTGATAGGTGCTATTTATTAATACACATTGTACACATATATTGATTATATAGCAGAAAAAAAGCTACCAAAATGGTGATTTTGTTTTTAAAACTAGCTAGTTTCTTTGCTTATAAGGTGTTGGATTTATACAGTGATTTCGATAGGGAACAGAAAGCTAAATATTACTTTACTAGATCATATTTGTCATCTGATCACAAAGTGAATTGTGTCAAAGGACAACTCATCCGGCTATCCAGTGTTAGCAGAAAAGGGATTCAGATAAAGTACTCTAAAACCTAACATAGTGTTTTTGGGAGTTCTTCAGCAACCCATGGCATATATAATGATTTTTCCAAGGATTTTTGCAAATAATACCTTACTTTTTAATTTACAAGAATCTTTAGGGGTAAGCAGACCAGACATTGTTATCCTTGTTTCCTAGAGGAAACACAATCACATCAGTGTTCCAAGGTCTTCTACAAAGCCTCATTGTCACACACTGAGACCCCTAAAAAGTCCTATTCCTTTGTGCAGTGACCAATAACCTTGACTCATTAGAATCAAGTGAGAGAGGAGAGTCCCAAGAAGTTACCTGCTCACGACTTCAGATTACACTAGATAAGAACATTAGGATTGCAAACCTGGATGACAAATACACAGAGTCTAAATCCCGAGATCTGTTTTCCTGATGAATCTTGTGTTGAGCATGCTCTATATGCCTTGTTTCTATTACTTCCAGGAACTATTTTCTGCATTTAGTTTCTCTGGCCCTACTGGGAAGTGTGGAAGGAGGCAGGAAGGCATTATAAATTGTTGTTTAACAGCATGGGCCCATTTGATTGATATATAGAAAATGTAGCAAAAATATGCTGGTAAAAATGACAAACTTTTTTACTAAACACTATCATGTATTAATGCTAAAGAGTTGAAATAATGTATTTATTCTCTACCGATATGCTTTATATTCTATCCAACATAGTAACTACAGTATTCTTCTACTTGTTGACAATATTGTCATTAATCCCAAACTTAGAAAGCCTTCAAAGAATAATTTGTGCTGCTATTTAATTATTGATGGGAAAATGATCTCTGATCAGCTATTCTCAAACCCAAATTACTTAAACCATTTATATTGTGATTTCTTAAAGGGCTTTTGTAAATAAAGTTTTACTTTATTTTCATAAAAACCTTAACAGGAAGATAGGGTAACTATGTTATCCAGCTTTATAGATAAGGCAGCTGTGGCTAATAATGTGGAAGAGCCACTTACAAATTGACATGGAAAGTGAAAAGAAGAGCCAAGCAGGAGCCCATCATTATATCCCAAGCCACCAGAACTGGATTCAGTTGAAGGAAAGAGAGAAAAATCATCATAAAAATATTATTGTAATTGCAAGCCCGGTGAATTGTCACAGAATTTGTAAGACTATTGCAAACAAACAATTGTCTCTTCCCTTTTATTTTATAGACCCCGTGGATTTCAGAAAATCACCTATCTCCCAAGAAAGAGTTTGGAAAGTAGGTAAGGGCAAATAAAAACTCTTCGTGGTTACAAATGAACAGCATTTTCTACAAAAGATTCATTCTAATTCTTTGCCATATCCTTCAAAGTAGAATATAAATTCATTTTAATTTAAGATGGTTTATGTTTTAATTTTTGTATTAATTAGTTAGGCTAATGGTTGTAACAAGTAAACCCAAAGAAGTCAAGGGTTCAAACACAATAGAATTAATTTTTTTCTCAAGTAAACATTCCAAGGAGTTTTAGATGAGAGAGGGGTGGGACCGTATTTCAAGTGGGGTTCAAGGAAGCAGCCAAGTGGGAGATCTCCCTTCTTCCATACCAGACTCCTAAGGTGTCCTGGGGGTATACTTGTCTTGGGTTTTTAGAGCTTCCCAAGTTTTTACCCTCTTGATTCCTTTGTCATACACGGAGACTTTCAAAAGACACTTGCTTCCTCTGCAGTGAAAAGATTTGGTGACTCTTCAGAGTCCAGTGAGGAAGAGGAGCCCATGAGAGCCTCGAGCTCAGCACTGAGAAGCAATCCTGATGAGGAGGGTAAGGACTACCATCACTAGGCTCCCAGGCACAAGGAATCTGAGTATGGAGTTCTTTCTTGTTTCTAGGGTATTTTACTCTGACCATCCTCCATAGACTGGGATCTCATTCCCTGCATTTACCACATCTGGCCATTTTGAAAATGCAAAGAGAGAAAGCATTATAAATTCAGGTTTATAAGGTGGCTCTAGTTGAATGGCAGTGCCATTTTTACTATATGCTTTCAGGTTTATTAACCCCAAAGTACTGAATTATGTAGTGATTTCCACCCCTGCCCACTCCTATTTTGTAGAGAGCAGAGAAAATGGGTATCTGCCATTGCTTGATTTTGTTGCAAACTTACTCAAAATTCAAAAGACTCTGATTACTGACAGAGGGAAAAGTTTCTAGTTATTGTCATCAAATTCAATTTATAACTTTTGACAGATGACTCCAATATGACATTGGCCCATATAATGATATTTGAAAATATCTTCACTAATAAGATATCTTTTCGTGTTTATAACAACTGAAAGGTAGGCCAGATAACTATTGCTCTCTCTACTCCACAGGTGGGGAAACTCTAACTCATAAACATTTAAAGATCTTCTATACATTATATATGGAAAGTTACTGGAAAAAGCAGAACAGCCAGGACTCCTAGCAAATATCCATAGTCTTTTATTCAAAACCTTTGAAGCCAGGCATAAAATAATAATCTGTTAGAAAGACAATGTGGTTCATATCCTATATATTACCAAAAAAAAATCTAACAGAATCTGGGACAGAATCCTATTCTCAAATATACATACTAATGACCTTGCAACGAGTCTCAAATATATTATATTAATGTTCCTGCAACAAATTGGTGAATTCGAGCAGCCTGGGTAGCTCAGTGGTTTGCACCACCTTCAGTCCAGGGCGTGATCCCGGGAACCCGGGATCGAGTCCCATGTCGGGCTCCCGGCATGGAACCTGCTTCTCCCTCTGTCTGTGTCTCTGCTTCTGTGTGTGTGTGTGTGTGTGTGTGTGTGTGTGTGTGTCATGAGTAAATAAATAAAATCTTTAAAAAAAAGTCTGTTTTCAAATTGGTGAATTCACACCAAGTGTGAGAAATAAAAATTTTACATAGATTCATGACAGCTCAAATCCAGATTCACTGCTGAAGTAGTTAGTTGAAAACTTATGGGAAAAATACGAATTTTCAAAATTTCTTTGATTTTGCAATTGGGGCCAAAGGATTGTGGTTCTCTGCTCCATTTAGTAGTGATATTTTTCCTTTAGATGGGAAGAGACAGAAATGATTGTCATAGTGTCTTTCTAGTCCAAATCCTGTCTACAGTGTAAGTAGTCATAAGATTCACAACTGTTAGTTGTAGATTACTGGTTGTGTTTTCCTTTACTTTCTAGATTCTGCGGATATTGGAAACAAATCTTTTTGGGGAATAAACAACAGGAAAAGACGTGAGTGCAATTAAAACTCTTGATGTAACAACTATCGTTCTTTACTACAAAATCTTTGTTCAAATTTTTTGTTAAATCCTCTAAAATAAAATTACTTGTAAATTAATTGATTCACATTATACATTTTGAATTAGGTGGGCTGGACTAATTGATACAATATGTAAGCCTCAAAAAGTTCAATGGCACAAATACAATACAAATATATTCTTCATTTGCCTAAATAAGATAAAGTAACTCCTGGAGTGGAGGGTGCTCTGCTCTGTAAGACTCTTGAGGGTCCCAGTTGATAGAGGCCCTGACAACTAGAAAATGTTGCTTCCACAGACTCCCTGGATAACCAAAGGAACTGGAAGAAGAAGTACATGCCAACAAGCGGAAAGGGTAAGACATGGTGGAAAAAGGAAGTACCTTCCATGGCAAAATTGTCCCCCAGCCCAGCCCTGGGGATGGTTCCTAGAGCAACTTTGACCAACAGGTCAGATGGAGCCACAGGGTAGCCTGGCAGTAGGAGTATTCCTAGCTCCTAACTTCACTCTCCAATTTTCCTTTTAAAGAATTTTGTACTAGATTGGTTCCTAGAACACAGACTGAGACTGCTAAGAAATTTTATTTCTTTCTGCAGGGATCAGCAGTGATAACTTTTCAGAATTACATCGTGCAGAAGAATCTCAGGAATCTTCTAACTCAGTCCTAAGAAGTGGGTCAGGTAAAGAAGATTAGGATGCCAAGCCTTGGCCTGCAGAATGTCAGGAATTAAACGCTACTGTTTCCTGATGCATTTTATTCTCAGCACCTTGAAGACCTGTATCCAGTTAATCCTGGGAACTCCTTTTCAGCATTTTAGAAAATAGAAGGGGACAGGAAATTATTATAAATTCATGTTTAACAGGATGAGTTCTATTGAATAAATGTTTGTAATTATATACTGCTGTTGTGGAAGAAATGAATAGCAAAATGGTGGTATCTTTTTAAACACCTATTGTCATGCCTACTAACACTAAGACCTTAGATTTCTATAGTGGCATATTGATTGACATTAATGTCATTTGTAATTGTAAAAGCCTCAAAAGACAACTGGCTCCGCTATGTAATTACAGACAGTAATAAAAGCGTCAGATCAACAACTTTCAAACTTTAGTATAGTTTTTGACAGTTTCCCATCATATTGTAATTTGATTATACTGTGTTATTTTAAACTACTTTGGCAGATAAGATCTTACTTTGTAATCACAATATCCTTAAGATTTAGGCATGCTAATTCTTGTCATCCTATTTTGGAATAAAGAAGTAGACATTTGACCAAATTCACCAATTTGGCCAAAGGTCAAAAAGTATAACTATTGTATATAATAGGCAGGAATATAAGAGCTGTATCCCATGATCAAAATCCAAAAAGGAGGTACAAGGGAACTGATATATAGTATCAGCAGTATGTATCAGTGCCTGATGCAAGAAAAATTTATTTTAACAACTAGATAGGTAGATAGATAGAGATTGATAGATAGATGATAGATAGATAGATAATAGATAATAGATAAAAATGAAAATCATAAAGAAAAAAAAAGATGGTAGGAGTGGTGCCAGATATAAGGAATACAAAATACCTGGAAGGGAAGAGCCAAAAAGGATAAATACAGAAATAAAAAGGAACAGAGATTAAGAACATCATTGATGAAAAAGAGAAAAAAAAAACACAGAGCACAAGAGAAATCAGGGAAATGGGGAGAGAAGCTCATAGAATCAAGTAATGGTGATAGAAATGTGTAAAGCAGGGAAATGGTCAGAAAATAGAGAAATAATGAGAAAAATGATATGTGACCAGATAGGAAAGATGACAGAGCACATCTTTGTTGGATATAAGGTGTAGTCATCAGTGTGGGTATTTTCTCAGCTCATCTGAGCCATGAATGTAAATGAACATGACAACATCAAAGTGGTCACTGTCTATAGTCTGTCATTTCCTTATTTCTCTTCAATGTCCTCCTGTGAATTCAAAGCTCCGCAGATGAATAGAGGAAGAAGGTCAGAAGAGATGCCAACCTATAAGCACCTGTTGGTGCTTACGTTACGTTATTATTATCTTTTATATATTATATCTATTATCTATTATATAAGCCGTTACATTATTATTATCTTTGTTTTCTTGTCTGCACAGAGGAAAAGCTCTTCTTTATCTTACCTCCCCCCTAAAACATTGCATGTACATGCAAATGCAGACACACATGCACACACACACTCCCATACATAGACGACTTATGTAAGGTTTGGACTGCTTTCAACAGGTTTGAGGGAGTCAAAAGAGAAAGAAGAGCTATGTTCCTGAATGGAGGGAGGTTAACACTGAGTGGGTAATGTAAGGAGAAGGAATGGAAAAGATAGGCTGGGCTCTTCAAATGGAAAAACATCTCACTGAGTATGCTTCAAGTATTTTCAAGTGGAATGGAAATGGAATCCAAATATCACCAGATTGGGGGGTTTTGTGGGGGAAGAGTGTTGATTTTCAAGATACTCTCAGAAGTTGTACCAGAAACATGGCAATAGAGTCCATGACTGACTGAGTCTTACAATGTAGAAAGCCCATAGTGAATTGGTAAAAGTAATGGTGGCCAACAGTGTGGTCAGTGCCAAGAGTAGTCATTTGGTCATGATGAAAGTAGCAGTCTATGAAATGAAGCTGAATATAGATAAAATATAAAGGCAAAAATTGTACTTGTAAAAACAGCTAAAATATCAAGATTAAGAGAAACAGACTGGAAGCAAAGAGAAAATGGAAAAGGAAGTGACAGTAGAAAGAGGATTACTTCAATAATAAAATGAGATTCAGGGATAGAAGCATAGAGAATTGATGGAGTGGGGTACATACATCGGGAATAAATGGAGAGAAGAAAGAGGAGGCACACAGAGAACCATGTAGAGAAAGAGTTAAAAGATGAGATAAAAAATGGCAGAGTGTAAAAAGAAGAGAGGCAAGATGGAGAAATTGTGGGATCTGAAATGGGACAAAAGCAATGTTGGTGCAAGGGTGGTTCTCAGTAGAAGTGGCTTTACAGAGCAAGGCGCTCCCAGGTATCAGTGTCCCCTATAACTCACCCAGATTACAAGAGACGTTGCCCAGGCATAGGCATTTCACTCATTCCTATGGTTTCAATCACCATCCACAACTTAATAGTTCCTAAGCATACATTTCCAGCCCAGCCCCGTCCTCCAAGCATCTAAACTCATCCATCCAAATGGCAGAATGACCTCTGTCCAAGGTTCTGAAGGTCCTAGCCTTCCCCACTTTAGATGTCTTTCAAAACCTTCAAACTCAACACTTGCAAAACTGAACACATCATCTTCCTAAAACCAGCATCTGCTTCTCCAGTGTTCTCTGTTTCTAAAATACACTATTAATTGCCCCATTGTTTTCAAATTGAAATTCACAGAGTCACCCATGACACTGTTGTCTCCTCAATTGACACACCACATCCATCACCTAACTCTATCAAGTCTTCCTTTTAAATGTCTCCAGCCTGTCCTTTCATCTCCACTCCCAGTGCTGACACTCTAATCCATATCTATCTCACTTCTCATTGTACTAGATCTACAGGATCTTGTTCTCCTTCTAATCTTCTTCCCACCAGATGTATTCTAAGTGATTTAGCTAAATTGATATTTCAAAACTGCACCCAAAGTCCTTTAATTTCCTTTAGGATTAAGTCAGTTCTCCTTCATGGGGCCTCCAAAGCCACTTACCTAAGGGCTCCTGCCTCTTTCTCCATCCTTATCAATGTTCTTTATTCTTTCACTTCATGCTCAGATATACTAAACTCCTTGTGGTTACTTTCATTTGCTGAATCTACACACACTTCTTTACACACATTTCGTCATATTTCAATATATTCACTCATTTGTTTCTGTGTCAATTCCCTGGTTGCTCATAAAATTGACAATCATTGATACTTCAGTAGTCTTCTGCCTGAATTACTATCAGCACCCATCTCAGCGCCTGGTACATGAAAGGGGTTTAGCAAACTTACTGAGTGAGTGAAAAAAAATTGTTCACTTCCTGTATTCTAACATTTGGAACTATTTCTGTCAAAAGTTACTTTATTATAGTATTTATACAGAATATTTACAAAAACTATTTTAATAATTGAATTTTATATATACAAATATATAAATGTAATAAAATAATATTTCTGGAAAAGAATAATGTCACATAAAGTAAATATAAAAGTATGTGAAAATGTCATAAATGGTGGATAGGAAAAGCATGTAAAGAAAAAGTAGAAGAACAGAAATACAGATTTAGGGCAAAAAGAAAAGGATAAAAGAAAAAACAGTTTGAAAGGAAGGGCAAAAACAATGGGGAGCAAACAAAGAAAGTGATTTCAGAGGTTGAGACATCTTTTAGTGGAGGGTTGGGGGAAGGGAGGATCATTAGAGAAGAGATGCAAATGAAAACTCTTTACAAATCATAATTTAGGAGCAGAGTCCCAAGGACTTGGAAATGAAGAGTGTTCATGTGTCATGTGTCTTTCGAAGGGTATTTCAAGAGGCCAAGGAACAAGGACTGAGAATAGCCAAGCATCTGACACGATGGGTAAGGCTGCCTGAGGGTCTTGGGGTGGAGGTGGTTCTGCTGATACCACAGACCCTGGGTATGTAGTTGATCAGAGTTCAAGGACATCAGGCAGCTGACCAATGGAATGACCAGTTATGGAAGTTGAAGGGTCACAGGGTCCTAGACTGCACAATGTCAGGAATCTGATATCAGAGCTTTTGTTTCCTGCTGCACTTGACTCTGAACACACTTTGATAAGGAAGGGGTACATCCATGCCAGAGTCCCATTCTCTGCATCTACTTGACCTGAGCCTTTTGGGAGTGGCAGGGAGGCAAGAGATTCTTATAAAGTCATGTTGAACAGGGTGGATTGACATGGATGATCTAGTAGAAACACACTGGCAAAAATAGCAGTATCTCATTTACTAAAGTATTGGATTTATATAGTGACATCCCACCCTTGTCCGTGGAATGAAGAAATCCAAGTGTTCTTCAGATAATAGTGTCACTTTGTCACAACCTTGGAAAAGCCTCAAAAGACAAATGGTCCTGTTACCTGTCAGGAAACAAAGGCCCTAGATAAATATTCTTAAACTCAGCATATAGTTTTGAAGAATGTCTTCCATAGTTGACGAATGTAGTGATTTCTCATTAACTTTTGTAAATAAGATCTTATTTCATTGTTATAAAAAGTTTAAAGCCTGAACAGGATAACAGTTGCTTTTCTTGTTTCATGAACGAAGAAACTGATGTACTTAAGAAATTAAGAGCCTTTTATAAAGTCCCAGAGAAATAAAGGACCTTAGATATCAATTCAGTACCTGTTTCCTTTAGAAGGAAGACAGAGAAATGATACTCAGATCATTATAAACTCAAGCCTTCCGCAGTGTGAATTGTCATAAGATTTGTAATTTTTATTTCTAAATTACAACTATATGACCACCACCTATTACTTTCTAGATACCATGGATATTGGAAACAATCCTACTTCGGGAAAACACAATGAGAAAATAAGTAAGAATGAAAAAGAATTTACTTGATTTTTATGTCACAAATGCAGTGTTTTTTTTAATGCTATAATTTATCATTATTTTCTATGCCTTTCATAAGGAAAAAAAATGAATGCCTTTTTTTTAAATGAATGCCTTTTAAAGCCTTTTAAAGCAACTATTTTTTTCCAAAATGGTCATATCTTGATATTGTTTTATTCTGATTTTAAAATATCTTTCTTATAAACATTGGTATATGTCTTTGCAGAATTTTTCTATGCATGTATTAAGTCAGTTTGGAATATATTTTTATTTATCTTAATATGGTAATTCTATACATTTTCCCCTTTCTTGCTTTTTAAAATTAATGTATCATACCTAAGCAGTAAAAACATTTAACATTTTAACTGAACTATATATAGTCTTATTTGGTGCTTTCACATGCACCAGTCTTCATTTTGAGGGTGATTGAGCATTTTTCATTTGTTATTGGTCATTTGTTTTTCTTCTTCATTGAAGTCTTTGTCACAGAGTGTCATGTCAGCTTCCTATAGTGGTGGTTGTCTTTTTCTTACATTGCTGAATGGATATAGAAAAGCTTATCTGGTATATACATTAAATCCACATTATATATGTTGCTAATACGCTGTCCCATTTGTTTTCCTTTCCTTTTGTTTATTTGTCTGTTTGTTTAAAGATTATTTATTTTAGAGACAAAGAGAAAGCATGAGTGAGGGGAGGAGCAGAGAGAGAGAGAGAATCCCAAGCAAACTCCCCACTGGGCATGAAGGCAGACTGGCGGTTCAAACTTACTACCCTGAGATCATGACCTGAGCTGAAATCAAGAGTCAGATGTTTAACTGACTGAACCATGAGGACGCTCCTATTATATTTTCCTTTTAGGCTTGTTAATGGACTCTTTTGTCCTAGAGATGTTATAAATTTTTAAGTAGTCAAATTTGTCAGCTTTTTTCTCTCTTGGGTTTCCCATTGCTTTTATAACAGCCATTTTACCTGAAGATTTTAAAAACATTGTTCCATGTTTGATGATAGAATCAAATGTTTGAAATACCTATCATTTTTTATGTTTACATCTATAATTCCATGAGTTTTTCCTCTCTGCTTTCATGTGAGGTGGGAATTTAAAAAATATTCTCTACACTATTACATTGTGATTGAACCACCACTTTAATCACACAGTGCCTTTACCTGTCTATATACTAGATTTTCTTTTGCAATCAAAGGGGTTACAGAAAAGAAGAGAAAGTTCAGAGGTAGCACCATCCTGATGACTCATTGAGGGTGAATTTTAGAATCAACTCAAGAAGATCCCCCTCCTGCCTCCTTCCCAAGTTCACTGGAATCTCTGATTAGAAATGCACTGGGTGTTATTTGTAAGTGATGAATCACTAAATTCTACACCTGAAACCAATTTTACCATATATGATAACTAACTGGAATTTAAACAAAAACTTGAGGGAAAAAAGAAGAAATGCATTGAAAATGCAGATTAACTTTGGGAGAACAGAGATTTTACCCACTTATATCTTATTTAATGCTCTTCCAATAGGAATTTTCTTGCACTTTTTAAAAACTCTTATATGGTGTACCAATGTGTTTGTTACTATGGATATCTTTTTTTCCCCATTACATAATACCTGGAGTGAATTTAAATGAGACAAAGCTCTCAAAATCTTTATTTAAGTAAAAAAATCTGTGGTTATTTTATTACCTGCTTGCGTGTGAGGAAATAAGAATGCCAAGAGGTTTTTTTTTCTGATTTAATATAAAATCTTATAAGCATTTACATAGTTTAGGGATTCCAATGTCAATCAAAACATGATGGCTAGTATCGAATTGCTGAATTACTATTTTGTGTAACACTTTATGTTAATTACATTGGAATTAAAATAAAAATTTTAAAAATATGATGGCCAGGGATACCTGGGTGGCTCAGCAGTTGAGCATCTGCCTTTGGCTCAGGTCGTTATTCCCGCGGTCTTGTTATAGAGTCCCGTGTCAGGCTCCATATAGGGAGCCTGCTTCTCCCTCTGCCTGTGTCTCTGCCTCTCTCTCTGTGTCTCTCATGAATGAGTGGATAAAATCTTTAAAAAAATATGATGGCCAGATCCAAGAATTATCAAGACTGTCAATCAGATTTAAGGCTTCTTTGGAACTGGTTTCATGAGAAGTGGTAATAATTTCTAATTGGGGGAGTATTACAAGACCCCTTCAAATTAACTGTTCCAAGGACAAATTTTTTATCAACTGAGAGAAGAACAAACTGGTAATGATTGCCATATCTCCATATTTTGCAAGAGAATAAGACTTACCTTTTTATGAGATTTCTCAATTTAATATTTTGTCAAATCATATTCTTTAAGTAGTTTATGGTGCAGAATGCTCTCTCACCTTCCACAGCTATAAGTTGGGGGACTTTCCCTCCATCTCTTTCTGTAATTCCCTGTTAATTACATATATATATACATTTTTAATAAAGATTTCAAATAATTAATTTATTTGAGAGAGAGCATGAAAGAGAACACAAGTGGAGGTGGGCAGAGGGGGAGGGAGAAGCAGGCTCCCCACTGAGCAGGTAAACCAAGTCTGGGCTCAATCCCAGGACCCTGAGCCAAAGGCAGACGCTTAACTGACTGAGCCATCCAAGCATCCTTCCTTGTTAGTTACAAAGACTTACATTTTTCAAATCTGATTTCTGGATTTCGTTAGATAGCCATATAAGAAATGCAAGCCCATAGAATTCAGAAATATGTAGTTGGCAGAAAACAGAGAAGGGCCTGCAAGAGATTTTACCTAAAAACAGTGAAAATAGATACATAGAGATTTTTTTTTCTCCTATAGCTTCCTATCTTATTTCTTAAATCTGAATCAGCTTGAGATCCCCTGTGTTTTTTTATTTTCAGATTTCCTTTCTTGCTTTCACCTAAATACAGTGTGAATGATCTGTTCAGTATTTAGGAGATTGATGCTTATGATACCTTTTTAAAAAGATGACATCTTAATAATATTGTATACACATTATTACTTATAGGCTAAGTATTGTTTCCAGCATCATTAAGATACTTTCTATATTTTTTCTTGTATCTCCAAATCCTGACACCCCTACCTTATTCACATTCCATTTACCAGACCTCACCCTAATAGGCTTCATCATACTTCCCTTTTCACTGCTCTGCTTATCCACTGTACATTCCCAACGCTTCCACAACTTCTCTTTCCTTATAAATCAGACCACACCTATACTGACAACCACCAAAACTCAGTCTCTCTTCAAAGTACTCATTCTGGGTGAAGATGCACAGACATTGAAACTGCCCATGATTACTTACTGCAGTAGCATGAGGAATTTGGCAGAATGGAAGGAAGAGCCAGCTTTCGGGGTAATATGGGTGCTCCCCCATAAAGGAGTGTGGAAGGCTTCAGTAGAGGATAAGATTTTTGAAAGACTGGACAAGCTCATGCTAAAGACTGGATAGAACCATGTTGGCTGCAGATGAAGTCCCCATGGCTCCGTCTGAAGGATATGGCAAGACAATTCACAGTGACCCCTACTTGCACAGACTAAGGGGATTAACCTCCTTCTTTTTAAGCTCTAAGGTTTACCCAAAGGCAGAGTTGCAGCATGGCTCAAGGTATAATCACAACACAGGTTCCCAGTGACACATGTGCTTATTGGCATAGCCCCCCCAATGCAGAAATCTTGGGTGCTAAATGCAAAGTGAGAGGCTCCATATTGTCCCATAATAATGAAACAGAGAAGGGCTAATTTTGCATGGTTAGGCCAGTGTTGTACCCCAAATACTTAGTATGTTTTCCTTCTTTAGCTGTCCTTGCTCTAGGTCAAGGTACTAACATCACAAGAATTCCTTCATTCTGCTGTATAGCAGGTGAGAAAGACTCTGCGTTAGAAATAGTTAAGCCTTTACATATTGATCCATCCACGAATATGCCGGATGAGTAATTTAAATAAATTAATTAATTCTCTTTGTGAAAAATTGAATCCGCATATATAATTGTACAAAATATATACTTAAAGCAAAAAATTATAATAATAAAATACCACAGTAAAATAAAGGAAGGGGTAAAGAAATATCAGAAAACTACAAATTAGAAGATTGGAGTGTGGTGTTTTGAGAGAGAGAGAGAGTGCGTGCACACATGTGTGCATATGAGTGGGGGAAGGAGCAGAGGGAGAAGAGAGAGAATTTTAAGCAGGCTCCAAGATGAGCTTGATCTCATCACCCTGAGATCATGACCTAAGTCAAAATCCGGAGTCCAATGCGTACCTGACTGAGCCACCCAGGTGCCCTTAATCCCTTTTTTTGAAGATTGGTGATTTTTGATTGTTGGCTCTTTGTTATGGATAGTGATGTCATAATCAATGTTGTTGATTAATGAGGGTTCTTTATAGACTCCATTATGAAGGTGAGGCTTCCTCTGGACTGCATGCTCCCTAGGATTGTAAATATTGACCTTAGATGGAGCTATGGCCCTCCTGGCCTCACAGGTGGGGTGGGAGGCAGGTGGGTAGGACGCAGCATGTATGGAGAGCAGTGGTAGAAAGGGAGGCAGATCTCTTTCCTGCAGCCTGGGCCTGAAGGGAGCAGAAGGGATCTGTCCTTGACAAACTGGTTTCTCCAGTCAAGAGGATGGAGCTGGTGTGGCTTGTTGGAGGGTAGCCCGCAGTGATCACCTGATCATGGCCTTTCTGACAGGGTTCTTGGCTGCCTCTTACCTCCTAACACCTGGCAGACGTTGGCATCACCGTGATCAGGTGAGGAAGTTAGGAGAATATGGTCCCTTTCAGGCCACATGGATGAATGCACTATTTGGGGGGACACCACAACTTCCCACTGCCGATAGCTCCTTCCTGGTGATTTGGTGGTGGTATTGGTGGTGGTGATCCCTTCTCAACTTCCTGACATCCACATATTGGAATGCCCCCGGGTTTGGACCTGAGTGCTTTCCTCATCTCTAATTATACTCTCTCCAGAGGGATTTCAT